ACTCACACAATGCTTAAACAAGCTACTTGACCTCTTTAAAAAAGCATTTATAATTATGACTGTTTATCAACCTACCAGTTCTGAAGGAAGTAAGCTAGTTCTGTCCTTGAAGCTGTCACGATTCACACACGGAGGGGTGACGTCAGCTGGGATGTCAGGTGTTGTGAGAAATTGTGTTCCCCTAAAATATTTTGTCCCCCGTGTCGGGAGATCGCACTTCTGGCTATTTTCACAACATTTGTGATCAATTTTTATGGTAAAATGATGTAATGTAATAATTTTATGCCTGGGAATTTTTAATCTCTATTTCCTCCTATAAACAATAAAAAAGATACAGTAAAAACATTCTTGTTCACTCTTTTGCAGCAAGCTTATTATCAGTTTTGAAAGTTATGTAAAAAGATGTAATCTCACTCAGTTTAGCCATCTTTTATTTGAGGTAGTTTAGTCCTCATAATGGACAATAAATTTTATAGATTTGGAAATATTTGCTCTTGACTGCCTAAGGGAAACAAAATATTTCATGGGAACATAATTTTCCACAACACCCATTTCACGTGGATCACGGAGTGCACCACTTGATGTAAACAAACTGGCTGTCGCTACCTGCTTATATGGATATGGAGCGACCACTGGCTGATTGTTAGCCACGGCTAGTGAAGGAGGGTTGGTGACCCGGGGACACGCTGGAGATAAAGGTAACATTTGAGATGAAGCCCTCTGAGTCAGAGCGTCTCTGTAACACGTGGGAAACTACATCGCTGTTAGTAGAGTGTTGTGGAGATAAAGTAAACAACGCTGACTTAGCCACTGGCTAACGGACGAGCGCTGGAGTGTGTTGGGTGAGACGGCAGGCTGCAGGAAGAGAGGAAACTTGAGTAGAAGGACTTCGGAACGGACAAGTTGGGACCGGGTTGGGAGTTGTGGTACTGACACGCTGGGACCGGATCAGGAGTTGTGGTACTGACACTTTAGGAACGGATCAGAGGTTCTGGTACTGACACGTTGGGACAGGGTCAGGAGTTCTGGTACTAGGAAAAGACGGATGAAAAACTTGAGTCAGACACTAATCGGAGGCTGGCGTCCAGCTAATTGCGGGCGAGGGTCTGAACATGTGCAGCTTCCTTGTGTTGGACATGACGACAAACTGACAAATGTTATGTGTCTTTTGATTTAATTGTTTTTTATTCAAACTAGCTGCCCTCTGCTGGTTCTTTCCGGTTACAGTCATAGTCCAAACGGGTATTTTAAGATGGTGGATGACCATGGAGCGTCGACCACAGTTTAAGTATTTAAAAATGTAAAATTTCAAGTTGAGAGGAATATTTTGAACTGCTGTGAACTGGAAACACAAGATTTATAGTAAACAGGTAAAAATATTACACACTGGGGCTTTAAGGCATAAAAATAACAAAACTGAGACATAATAAGGAATGAATACCACTGATGTGTGCTTTATTTAAAATAAACTTGCTCTTGTGTAATTTGGTTATTCTACATTCACTATTTCTGCAAAAAAATATGTTTGTTTCCAAATGAAAAGGTTTAACAGTACAAATCTGTAGATAAAGGAAAATGTGCACACATGCCATTATTTTAAAAAAAAATTGAGTTTAGCTCGCAACTTCGTCCCAGTTTGTCATTTCGGCCCAGCGTGAATTTGGGTTTAATATCCCTTAACTAGATCATCAATTCATGAAGGGCTAGAAATGAAAACATTGCCCTCTGCTACGTTTCTCTGAGATGCTGAAGACAGTAAAGATGGAACAGTTTATTTAAAACATGCAACAGCGTTGTCTGATAGAGACCGACTATAGTGAAATTTACTTTCATGTCTAGAGAACTCAGTTATAATAAACTCAAAGGTTATCAAAAGTGGTCCGACCGTACTGGATTGTGTTTTGTTGGGGATTTCATTGAATACATTTATTTTCCTTGGATAAATAAATTAATTTGTTATATTAACATTAGACAAAGATTTATTTTGTTTAAAAACTTTTTTTTACATATTTCAGTCTTTAAATGGCTGAATAAGAACATAAACACAATTTCAAATCCTTTATATTTTAAAAACAACGCTTTGCCTTTTTTCTGATGCTGTAAAAGTATCAGGAACAGCTCCTGTTATTGTTAATGAGCCACACCTGCCTCTGATTGTTTCTAGCGCACCTGCTCCTGATTCCCTCTTGTATTTAAGCCCTCTGGTCACGCTCAGTGGATGGTTGTTGGGTCTGTCTGCTACAACATGTCTGAACTCAACCAGCATGCCATATTATAGCCTTCTAATGTATGTGCTTACCTGGGTTTGGGGCCTCACCTCAAACCATGACAAAAAATGTAAACAGGAAGACAGGGAACATAACAGAGGAACCCTCTGCATGTGTTCTGGATTCATCAGCTGATCAGAGTGTGACTTATTGAACCTTTTCACAATATTCTAATGAAATTTTGAATGGGTGTATGCACCAGATTCTCTTTTTCCAGTCCCACCTGTTCATGGTCATGTCTTCTGTACCACTCTTGAGTTTGCTAGTATTACAATTATATTAAAACTCAAATCAAAGAACATCAGGTCTTAATTCTAATGTTGGTGAAACATGGTCACCTATTGTCTCGGGTTTCCATTCACAACCACAGTGGTGCATTTACTGGGGCTAAGATGAAAGAAATCTCCAACACATGATGAGGAAAAACTAAAACAGCAAAGGGAAAAATCCTCTGGAGGGCTCTCGGTGTACTTCGATGCACTGAGTTGAGTTGATTTTAAAATCCTGCCAAGAGACGAGGGTAGCTTGAGTTGCTGTAAAGTCATGACTGGACACTCGGGAGTGAGTGGAGAATCGTTGCACTCAGTGGCATCAGCTAGACATCCTGTGTCAGAGTATGGTGGGCTGCATAGTTGGAAGTGTTCAGTAGGATGTGAAAGGAAGGAGTTGTGGCCCGTGTCAGATTTCACTCATACAGCTATTAACCCCTTCCTCAAGCGTGAACAGGTCATCGTTTATCCTGTTGGCAAATGAATCAAACTGGCCTGATTTAGAATGTCATCTTTTTTTGTTTTGTTTTGTTTTTGTTTTTGTTTCATTATCTAAATGTTTCCATTATTGAGTATACTGTGACCAGACCAACTGTTTGTAGAGGAATTTAAATCTATGAATGTTATTGCATTGTTTCAGTTGTAAACTCAGACAGTTCCAGATTTTCACACCTCATACAGACACAAAAACCTTTGCGGGTTGTTTGAGTTCTGGGTATTTTGAATTCTCCAAGGCCTCTCACATTATAAACCTTTTCTCAAATTTCAAATATACTTTGTAAATTTGCAGGTAGAAGTTTATTAAAGGCTTTGTATAAGATTATGGATGTATTGTAATTACCCAGATCCTGGAATTTTAGTAATTTTGCTTAAAGAAATTTGTCAGTATGATCTAGATAACAAGCCTTGTGAATAATACGAAGTGCTCGTTTCTGTACTGTGACTAATGGATTAGTTGTATTTTTATATGCGTTTCCCCACACTTCCACACAATATGTAAAATATGGAAGAACCAGGGTACAGTACAAAGTGCATGTTTATCAAGGTATGGTTTCACTTTGTTCAAAATTGCGAGGCTTCTGGAAATTTTGTTTTTTTTTGTGTCTGACATGGGGTTTCCATGAAAGTTTGTTATCAATTACGACTCCCAAAAATTTGTTTTCACTCTCATTATCAATTGGTACACCATCAATGTTAATTGGTAATTCCATATCATATTTTAAATTACCAACAAACATTGCTTTAGTTTTATTTATATTTAATGATAATTTATTTATATCCATTTTTTTATTAGTTTTAGCTCCCTGTTTACGGTCATTACAAGATCAGTATAATCATGGCTACTGAAAAATGTTAGTGTCATCTGCAAACAGTATGAGCTTAAGTACTTGAGAAACATCAAAAATATCATTTATATATGTACATTGAAAAATTTTGTTCCCAACACTGACCCTTGGGGAACACCACATGTTATACCAAGTTTCTCTGAATGGTAATGCCCTATGCTAACATAATGTTCCCGACCCGTTAAGTAACTTTTTAACCAGTTACCAGCTTTCCCTCGAATACCATAACTTTCCAATTTATCCAATAACATTGAGTGATTGGTTGTGTCGAAGGCATTTTTGAGATCAACAAAAATACCAACTGCATATTTTCATCCAGTGCATTAGTAATTTTTTCTACTGCCTCAATTATCGCCATTAAGGTGGTTCTTTGCGTTCTGAAACCACACTGACCCTCATTTATTATTTGATGTTTATCGAGGTATTTTTCTAATCTTGAATTAAAAGGTTTTTCTAAAATTTGAGAATTGAGGCAGTAGAGAAATAGACCTATAATTGGTAAAACTGTGCTTGTCATTACTTTTGTATAGTGGTATTACTTTCGCGATTTTCATTTTTTTTTTTTTTGGAAAACAACCGGACTGAAATGATAAATTACAAACATATGTTATGGGACTAGCAATATTCAGAATAATCTGTCGTCTAACTAGAGACCTATTTATTTCATGATAATCCATTGAAGACTTACTTTTACATTTTAATGTAATATTTATTAATACTTGCTCATTTGTAGCTGAGAGGAACAGTGAAAAGGGATTTAACTTTTATTACTGATATTTTCTTTTTTTTTTTTTTTTTTTTTGACACGGGATGTCTGCTGCTAGTTCAGGGCCAACATCTATAAAAAATTTATTGAACCCATCAACCATGTTTCTGTAGCGTTAGGAAGTATGATGGTCTGCCCTTAACAGCTGCTCCTTCACACAGTAACACCGCCAAGGTCGGACGCTTGGTTCAGTATGTTTACATTCCAGGAGAAGAGACAGAAGAACAGAAGAACGCTTTTCATGGGTTAATCAAAGTACTTCATTTGTGATAAGCTAATCAAAGCATTTGTTGATCATTAATAATCAGGTGAATGATCTGTGAAGACTGAGGTGAACATCTCGATAGGGGCCATGTCCTTCAAACACCCCGTGTACATCGATGAGAACATGCCCTTTCCCATGCTCATTGGGTTGGACTGTCTCTGGCGCCTGGACGCTAAAATCAGCTACAAGTCCGGGGAACTGTTTGCGCGTGTGAAAAAGCCTAAGCCGTACAATCCGCCGCCTGACAAGGACTTCCACTACTCTGTGGCCAGTCTTTCGGGTGAGGCTGTGATAACGGGCACACCACCACGCTCAAAGCCGCCCGGGAAGCCACCTGAAGTTTTGTCCCAGATTGACAAGGTCATAGACCAAGCTGATGCTCTCACCAACGAGGTCGAGCGAGACAAACTACGACAACTTTTGCTAAAGTACTCGGATTTTCTTTCACTTGACTCCTTGGACTGTGGTCTGACCACTATCCATGAAGTCCGGATTCCTACAAGGCCAGATGCACCACCGACCTTCGTGCGGCAATACAAGATTCCCCTGGCGTCCCAAGGACCAGTCCAGGAAATCATTGACAGCCTCTTGGCTAAAGGGATCATTCGACCCTGCAACAGCACCTACTCGGCTCCGTTGTGGCCGGTACTGAAGCCTAATGGTAAGTGGCGACTGACCATTGACTACCGGCAACTCAACAAACAGGTTCCCTTGTCTAGGTGGCCTATGGCATGCCTGGAGCAGGAGCTCCCACGAGTGAAAGATGCTAAGTACTTTTCCACACTTGACATTGCGTCCGGATTTTGGACGATTCCCGTCCACGAATCGGACCAACACAAACTTGCCTTCTCCTTTGCCAACCGGCAGTACACCTTCAACCAGTGTCCTTTTGGTTATTCCAACTCGCCTGCTGAGTTCAACATCTTCTTGAACAAAGCCTGCCCCGATGCTCGAGAGCGAGGGACCCTCATCTATGTCGACGACATTCTTGTTCGTCAGCGTACGTTAGATGACCACCTGTCCGAACTGGACCATGTCATGGGTCAGCTCGCGGCGGCGGGTGTAAAGATCTCTCTCACCAAAGGACAGTGGTGCAGGTCGCAAGTTCAGTATGTTGGCCTCCTGGTGGGACCACAGGGAGTGCAGCCTCAACTTGGCAGAATTCAGGGCATTGCCACCATCACCCCTTCGACAAACGTCTCAGAACTTCGGAGCTTCTTGGGGGTCTGCAACTACTCGTGTCAGTTCGTGGAGCATTACGCGGACATAGCACGACCTCTGACTACTCTGTTGAAGGATGTGGCATTCGAGTGGGCAGAGCAGCACCAGCAGGCCATGAATGACCTGAAGGCCACGATGTGCTCGGCTCCATGCTTGGCTCGCCCCGACTGTGACAAGGTGTTCCACCTTGAGGTTGGTTTCTCAGCTCACTGTTTGAGTGCTGGTCTCTACCAAATTCACGACAGGGACAGGCGTGTGGTAGCCTATGCTAGTAAGCTCTTGTCTGGGCCTGAGTTGAAATACTCAGACTGTGTAAAAGCTTTGCTTTCCACCATGTGGGCAGTTAAGTACTTTGCGAACTACATTGGCGGCCAGAAAATCATCATTGAGACACAGCACCAGCCGGTGACCTTCCTTAACAGTCAGCGCATCAGAGATGGTGTGGTGACCAATTCGCGGATTGCGTCATGGCTGCTGGCTCTGCAAAGCTTCGACATTGAGGTGCGCTACGCCCAGAACCAACGTAGCCCTCTTGGCATGGATTTGGCTGCGTGCCAACACTGCTTGGACGACGCCATTGCGTCAGTCCCACCAGCCAGCCAGCCCCCCTCAGACTCTTCTAAACCACAACCACCACTACTACGACCAGTCAGTTTGTGCGGATTTGCCGACCGTGTACGTAGATGGCAGTGCTTTTCAGCACGGTCCTGCGCCTGGAGCGGGCGTGGGTGTCGTCTGGGTGGACGGTGACTGGAGGGAGTCCCAATGTTCCTCTCTGGGAGAGAGGACCTCACAGTTTGCTGAAGTAGCGGGAATCGTGATCGTGCTACGCGGCGCTGAGGACCGTGGCTTCCGTAAACTAGTGATTTGCACTGATTCGGACTACACGCGTCTAAGTTTCCTATGTCATCTCCCGTCTTGGAAGAGCAACGGGTTCCAGACCGCTAACCGGAAGCCCGTCAAACATGAGGCACTCTTCAGAGCATGTGACATTCTGGTGACTGCACTGGACATGCACGTTTACTGGCGTAAGGTCAAAGGCCACTCTCGCGCACCCGGTCCTGAAAAGGAGTTGAACGATCTTGCAGACTCTTTGGCCAAGCGTGGTGCGACCGAGGGTCCCCTGTGGGTTTTCGACCGCTGGTGGCTTGAGGGATGGGTGTGGTCTTTCCCTGATCAACGCCAGGTGTGTGTTGTTACTCGAGCTCAGGTCGCTAAGGCGTCCACCTCGGACCCAACCAAAGGTGCGGTGTCCGTTGGACCTGCCTGCTCGGATACCGATCTTGTCAGTCATCAATCCCGGGACCCTGCTATCAGCAGGATGATCAAATACATTTCCGATCCTAAAACCCAGCTACCGACTTCCATCGAGCTTGACTCCGTTCCTGAGCTTCGCTCTCTCTTTCGCGTGCGTTCCACGCTGAGGATGGTCGAAGGGCTGCTGATGCACGCCGCCAAGCCTCCTTTGCCGCCCGTACTTGTCACACCAAAGCCGCTAAGGAGGGCCATGATCACGCAGGCTCATGACTCTCCATCCGCCGGTCACAAAGGTGTCAAGGCCACATTCGGTGCCCTGAGCCAGGTTGCTTATTGGCCGGGGATGCGTCGTGACATCTCGGACCACGTCGAGCGTTGCTTGGTTTGTTGTCAGTTTCCGCCGTCCAACCCTACGCACAGAGCTCCCCTACAGGAACGAGGCCCGACCACTCCATGGTCGGACTTGCAATTCGATTGGGTGGGGCCTCTGACCAAAACCGCCAGGGGAAGTAGATATTTTGACTGTCACCTGTGCATTCACCAAATGGGTTGAATGTTTGCCAGCGCCTGATGACACGGCGAAGACGACAGCGATCCTCTTGATGAACCACGTCTTTGCCCGCTTCGGTCTGCCCATGCGGGTCGACTCGGACAGGGGTACCCATTTCACCTCTGAAGTGATGAGACATCTGTGGAAACTGTTGGGTGTCAAGGCTAAGTTCCACATTAGCCACCGTCCCCAGTCTTCTGGACAAGTCGAACGGGTGAACCGCACAGTTATCAGCATGTTGAAGAAGTACGTGTCGGCTAACCACCCAGACTGGGATGTGAAGCTTCCGTTGGTCCTCATGGCCATACGGGCTACCCCCCACAAGTCTACAGGCGTCTCCCCGTTTGAAATGATGACGGGCAGACAAATGACCCTACCGCTTCACCTGCTGTATCGACGAGTTCAGCCCAACACAGCCCCGGCTTGCACGAGCGACCAATATGTGCAGGACCTGAGAACTCACCTGCTTGCAGCATTCTCGTTCGCACAGGCATCTCTGGAGAAGTCGGCTGAAGGCAGAAAAACTTATTACGATAAGAAAGCCTCACATTCCGAACTTGAGGTGGGTGATGAGGCCTGGTACTACATTTTCGCTCCCAAAACGGGTGGCGTTAAGGGGAAGCTGGCTAAGAAACTTTTGCCCAAATGGTCGGGTCCGTACCTGATAACAGATAAGATCTCTCCGGTCGTGCATCAGATCAAGATAACCGGCAAAAACAGGGTGCCCGTCTACAAATGGGTACACAGGGACCATATCAAATTGCACAAGGGTTCCGCAGATTTGGCCGATGACAACAACAATTTACCGACTTCAAAAGGGGGGTGAAAAATACGTCCCATTGGTTCCACAGTTTTCTATCTCTGGTTGCACAAATTTGTTTGTTTGTGAGCGTGCATGGTTGTCTTTCATGTTATGAGTCACGTGCAGACTTAGGGTGTGTTGAGATGGACGTGCTGTGGGCTCCTGGAGTCAGGTAAACGGCCAGGTAACAGTAAGTGGGTTAGGCCACATAGTACTGTTGTCCAAAATTTTGTTTTTTTTTTTTCTCTTTACTAATCACAATTCCTTAAGGGTACATTCACATGAAGGGATTACTAACTACTGATTTACATGTTAGTACTGATTTATATTTCTGTTTTTTTTTTTATAGTATCTTTGAAGTTGATTTAAAAGTGATTGTTATGATTATCAAGTTGATTTACCTTACGGGCCATAACCAATTTTGCCCCTATCCTGACAGCATGTATTCCCGGTGAGGATTCACTGATACCAGTTAGGGTTCTTTCATTTTCTGCTTTTCGCATCATCCTTTGTGCATCTTACACAGAGAGGGTTGCATCCATTTCTTCACTTAATGGGTAATTCATATAAAACGTACACATAGTACAACAGGTACTCATAGAATTAGTTTTTTTTTATTTCTTTGATGACATGAAATGCCATTCTGTCGTGTCTACATTGAAGTGCCTGCACTCTGCTCTCTCTCCTCTGCTGAGCTCGTGAGGATCCTGCTTCCTGGGGGTGGATTCTCATATTGTGATTTTCACCATTTGCATCAATGAAATATTCAGGATATGATGTTCCAGAAGATCCTTGTTTAATTGTCATTTAACACATCCCAAGTTCCTTTTCATATTTTTATTTTCATATAATCTTTTATAATAAAGTTGTTTACTCGTTCTTATATCTTTGTTCCACTTTTGTTTTTACTTTGAACTGTTTATAAAAATTGTTTTTCTTTTTGCAAGCATTGATGATTCCTTTTGTGAGCCAAGGACTTTATCTTTTTTTTTCTTTTTTGTTCCTTTTACAGGACAATGTTTGAATGAAATCATTATTTCTAAAATTATAATAAAAATATAAATAACTATTAACAATAGTAATAATAACAGTCATTGTAGACATTAAAAATAAAATCACTCTGATAATTACACAAAAATTAAATTATGTTCTGTTCGAAAAGGAGTAGGAGGAAGCTAGTGCTTATTAAATCCTTTTCTAGTATTTTTGAGAATTGTGATAGTAATGAAACAGGCCTGTAATTAGTGAAGCTATGTTTATCTCCAGTCTTGAACAGTGGCACCACTTTAGCTATTTTCATCTGGTTTTGAAATGTTCCAGTTAGAAATGATAAATTACAAATATAAGTGAGTGGTTTTACAATACCCCCAACAACATTTTTCATTGTCTTGCTATCGATATCATTATAATCAGTTGATGTTTTGCTTTCGCATTTATTTACTAGATCTATGAATTCCATTCCTTCCACTGCTGTGAGGAACATAGAACAGGGATTTTGCTCAAATTATTAGTACTGTTGTCCACTGACAAAGCATCCGGTATTTGTTTTGCCAGGTTCGGCCCAATATTAACAAGAAAGTTATTAAATCCATTGGCTATAGCCCCCATATTTTCTATCTTACATTTATTATCAAAATAATACTCTGGGTATTTATGGTCAAATACACAGTGGACTGTTAGTCACGGATGTAAGTGATCACTTGCCTGTCTTTTCAGTGCTTGAAATGAATAATCAATTTAATATTCGAGAGGAAAAGATTGATTACATTGGTAGAATAAAAACACCAGAACACATTGCAGCTTTTAAAAGAGAATTAGAAAATTATGACTGGAAAAAGGTTTATGTGGAAGACACTAATGATGCATATAATGCATTTCTAGACATATTTTTGTCAATCTATGACAGCCATTGTCCACTAAAGTTTTCTGAAAATCTCAAAAAGAAAAAAACATGGATGACAAAAGGTCTGGAAAGAGAATGTAAAAGGAAAAATAAGTTATATAAGATTTTTCTGACAAATAGAACTAAAGAAAATGAAGACAAATATAAGAAATATAGAAACGGACTAAAAACTAGTTTGCGATATGAAAAGAAAAAAGAAGTTATGAAAAGTTGCTTCAAAATCTAAAAATAATATAAAGGCTACCTGGAGTGTACTTAATAAGATAATAAAAAATCTGAATGTTTTCCAACATGTATTGTAAAAGAAAGCAATGTAGTGATTAAGAATATTGAGAGTATTGTCAACGAATTTAAAGATTACTTAATGTAGGTCCCAATTTGGCAAAAAAGATTTCTGTACCAGGAAGACATGATGACAATTTTTTTTAATCTTACTTCTTATAAATGCAACTCAATGTTTCTTGGAGGAGTCTGTGAGATTGATATTATAGATGTGGTGAGTAATTTAAGAGTAAAAAATCCATGGATTGTGATGGCCTTGATATGTCATTAGTTAAAGAAGTTCTTCATAGTATCCTTCAACCATTGACTTATATTTATAACATATCATTTCAATCCGGAATTTTTCCAGATAAAATAAATTGCCAAAGTGATCCCATTATATAAAAATGGAGATGAACAGATTGTGTCAAATTATAGACCAGTATCGTTGCTGCCTAGATTTTCAAAGATTCTTGAAAAACTTTTTGAAAACAGACTGAATTATTTTCTTGAAAAATATGATTTATTGAATGACCATCAGTATGGGTTCAGAAGAAATTGCTCAACATCTCTAGCAGTGATGGAATTTATTGAAAATATTGCAATGATTGTGGATAAAAAAACAGATTGGAGTAGGTGTGTTCATTGATTTACGCAAAGCCTTCGATACGATAGATCATTCTTTACTGTTACAGAAATGTGAAAGATTTGGTTTAAGAGGTGATGTACAACTTTGGTTAAATAGTTACTTGGAAAGAAGGTTCCAATATGTGAGTAATAATATGAAATCTAAACTTAGAAAAGCAACTTGTGGAGTTCCGCAAGGATCGGTGTTGGGACAAAAGCTATTTTTACTTTAAATAAATTATTTTTGTACAGCTAGTGATATTTTAAAATATGTGATGTTTGCTGATGATACAAACTTATTTTGTTCTGGAGATGACATAAAGGAATTACTGAAAAAAGTGGAAATGGAATTGATTAAGTTAAATAGTTTATTAAATACAAACCATCACTGAATGAAAGTAAAACAAAATTTATGTTGTTTGGAGGTATTAAGAGTAATATTGAAGTAAAATTAAATGTAAATAATGTTTTTAGGAGTAATATTTGATGATAAACTTTGAAGAGCTTGACGCGGAGGTTGGATTCGGCCCGGGGGATGTCAATCCACATGCTCTGAGATGTAATTCTAAAAAGCATACGTCCCTTGTGCTGAAGTGGGCTGTAACTGTATTTTTCCTTAAGAACACTCATTCTCACTTCAAAGGAAGGTCTTTAATCCTGCAATAGTGAGGTGTTTCACTTTTAATAATTATGCATTATGATTAAACATGTGGGCGTGATCTCGTCGGCACTGGGGATGTAATTCACTAAATCTGCCATTAGTTTTTTGCTTCTGAAGTTTAAAGGTTGCGTATCACACAGTTAGTCTTGCTGTTCATTTAGTCAATGGAAAATTGATAATTGGAACATCTAATGATTGATTGAGCCATACTTTTTTTTCAGCCAAACCATTTCATCTGATGTGCTGATGATTTTAAATGAGCATATTATTCAGGTTAATTTTTAGGATATCAACATTTAAGAACAATTGACCTTTTATTCAACGTGTTAAGCTGATTTATAAGCTCTTTTTTGTAATTTATTGATTGATTTGTAATAATAACAACTTTCAGATGGGTTCTTGAGTATTTGCAGTCATGGTGGTGCAAATATCACATGAATCCCTTAATTGTGATATTTGCAAATTCAAATCCTTTTCGGCCATTGTTCTCAACTAATTTCAAGCTTTCATTAGAGTGAGTGGAACAGTATGTCTGCACAGACATTAACAATTGTTTTATTACAATCTGCATTGGTCTGATTTGAATAAATTAAGAGCTTGCGTTGTCTGTAGTGACAACAGTTTCCTCATTGGTGTGTGTGACTAAAAACCCAACTCTAGAGTGTCATATATTTTTTTGAAAGCTCTTAATCTGAGCTATTTAATCATCATAACCTCCAGTTCCTTCCTCCAACTGCATGCTTGCACTGACTGATTTTGTGCGTCACATCTAAGCCTGAGGACTGGCATCTAAAGGCCTAACTTGCCATACATTTCCTGCAGCAGCTCTGTCTGTGAATGGCTGAACTCCTTCAACATGCAATGAAACAATAGTACAGATTTAGACCTTTCAAAGGATACCAAGCTTGAGACAAAATATGCCAAGAAAGTCCTGAATTTGGAGTGTTAAAAAGGCCATTCACGGGTCAAAATGTCATTTTAGGAAGGTTTCAGTGCCTTATTAATACAAGAACAATGAACCTTAGGCCCTGTCCACACGTAGCCGGGGATCTGCCAAAACGTAGATGTTTTTCTATGTTTTGGCCTGTCATCCACACGAAAACAGAGTTTTTTCACACAAACGGATCTTTTTAAAAACTCCGGCCAAAGTGAAGATCTGTTTTCTCCGTTTTAGGTGTCTGCGTGTGGACGACAAAACCGGAGTTTTAAGGTCTGCAACGTCACTTTCCGCGACAAAAAAATGCTGACATCACATGTGTGACCTGTGTTTACACTAGCCGGCATCGTGGAAGCCCTCGGAGCTGCGCTCTGTCACTACCCGATCCATCGTCCAAGCGCTTTTTGCTTGTTTGTCTGTGAAGGTTCTCAGTCATCCAGGTCATTGTAGTCTAATGAGCTTTGAAAGAATAGCGTCTGGACTTCTTTGAGTTGCTTAAAGACATTTCACCTCTCATCCGAGAGGCTTCTTCAGTTCTAAGGTCAAATGGTGGAGAGTCCCAGATTTAAACCCAGTGGGAGTTTCCCCCCGAGGAGGGAACAAAAGACCCCCTGATGATCTTCTACATAAACACATTGAGGGTGGGTGTGGGTCCTATTCAGCCAGAGTTTCGGGTGAGCTCATTTTGAAACCTGGCCCTACCCTATCATGTGAATTCCTGAGGTCAGATGGCCCGGGATATGCCTGGGTGTTGAGGCATCTGGGAAGGGATCTCAAGACTGGATTATAGATGGCAGACAGTTGGTGTCATAAACCACCGCCTCTGTTCAAAGATGGTTGCTCACAGTGGACATAAATGGCTTCCTTTACTCCTCTTTCAAACCATCTGTCCTCTCTGTCCAAAATGTGAACGTTGGCATCCTCGAAAGAGTGACCTTTGCCCTTTAGATGCAAATGAACTGCTGAGTCCTGCCCCATGGAGGTGGCTCTTCTATGTTGTGTCATGCGCTTGTGAAGTGGCTGTTTGGTTTCTCCGATGTAGAGGTCTGGGCATTCCTTGCTGCACTGTACAGCAGACACCACATTGTTCAGTTTGTGTTTAGGAGTTTTGTCTTTTGGGTGAACCAGTTTCTGTCTGAGTGTGTTGCTGGGCCTGAAGTACACTGGTAGTTGTGTTTGGAGAAAACCCTCCTGAGTTTCTCTGATACACCGGCTATATAGGGGATGACAAGGTTGTTGGGTCTGTCTTTCTTTTCCTCCCTCGCTGGTGTCTGGTCTTCTTTTCTGTGCATCTTTGCTGACTTTATAAATGCCCAATTAGGATAGCCACATGTTTTAAGTAATTCCTTTATATGTGTGTGTTCCTTCTTTTTCCCTTCCGGCTTAGAGGGAACATGTTCTGCCCGGTGGTGTAAGGTCTTGATTACTCCAAGTTTGTGTTCCAGAGGGTGATGTGAGTCTAAGAGGAGGTACTGGTCCGTGTGTGTGGGCTTCCGGTACATTTCAATGTTGAGGTTGCCATTTTCTTCAAGGTGCACAGCGCAGTCCAGGAAAGGCAAGCAGTTGTCCTTTATGTTTTCCCTGGTGAACTTGATGTTTTTGTCCACGGCACTGATGTGCGTAGTGAAGGATTACACTTCTTGTGTTTTGATTTTGACCCAGGTGTCATCCACATATCTGTACCAGTGGCTGGGTGCTCTCCCTTTAAAAGAGCCAAGAGCCTTTCTTTCCACTTCCTCCATGTAAAGATTGGCTACAATAGGTGACACGGGGGAGCCCATGGCGCAGCCATGTTTTTGTCTGTAGAAACCTTCGTTGTATTTGAAATATGTAGTGGTGAGGCAGAGGTCTAACAGTGTGCAAATCTGATCGGGTGTGAAGTTGGTCCTGTCCTCCAAGGTGCTGTCTTCTTGTAGTCGTTTTTTGACAGTCTCTACTGCCTCCGTAGTGGGTATGCAAGTGAAGAGGAAGACTACGTCAAAGGACACCATGGTTTCATCTGGATCCAGGGTAAGTTTCTGGACCTTGTCAGTGAAGTCGGTGGAGTTCTTGATGTGGTGTGGAGTGTCCCCCACCAGAGGTGCAAGGATAGTAGCATGGTGTTTCGCGATGTTGTAGGTGACTGAGTTTATGCCACTGACAATGGGTCTGAGAGGGATACCCTCCTTGTGGATCTTGAGAAGTCCGTAGATGCAGGGTATGGCATCTCCTGGATAAAGGCGGTGATATGTCAGGCGGTTGATGGTTTTGTCCCTTTCAAGGCCTTGAAGGCAAGCTGTAACTTTCTTTTTGTAGCTGCTTGTGGGGTCTCGCTTTAAGGCTTCATAGGTGTTGTTGTCACTGAGGAGAGTAGTGATCTTTGCGTGGTAATCTGTTGTGTTTAGGACCACGGTGCACCTTCCCTTATCAGCTGGCCATATAGTGATGGTGTGTTCTTTGCTCAGTGATGCGACTGCCTTCTTTTCTTGTAGCGTGAGGTTAGGAGGAGGGACTTTGGCACTGGAGAGGGTGGCTGAGACTTTCATCCTGATCTGTTCTGCTTCTGTATGAGATAATTTGTTGGTCCGTATGGCAGTTTCAGTGGCTGTGATGAGGTCCACTATGGGCAACTGTTGTGGAGCAATGGCAAAATTGAGTCCTTTGCCTAATACGCTCATTTCAGGTTCAGTGAGGTTCCGGTCTGAAAAGTTCTTCACCCATTTTCTTCGACTATCCTCCGGTGTAAGTTCTTCTCTGCGTTGTGTAGATTCAGACTGAGGAGTGAGTGTTTTTGAAAGCAGGGTGTGGAATTTCCTGCGTTGTCTTTCTTTTCCTTTGGAGTGTTGGACCCGCTGAGCCTTCTCCACAAACTTGTAAACCTCTTCTAAGATTGGAGAGGGTAGAAGGGTTTCCAGTTCCTGCAGAGTCTGGCTAATCTTGCTTTGGAGGGCATCTATAGTGAAATGGACCTGTCTTATCCTTTCACTTAGAAGCTGATTTTGTGCTCTTCGTAGAATTAAGTCTGCTCTGTGTCTGCTGACAGTGGATCCTAGGTGCAGGCTCTAAGGAACAACTCTGCTTTGTCTGCATCTCAGATTGAAACTGAGGTGGTTCCTGTAATCTGCTAGTTTTCTAGATTCCCTTTCATATTCCCGCACCAGTTGAAGGGTGTTCCTCCCAAAATGTACGGCAATATGTCTGTGAAGGTTCTCAGTCATCCAGGTCATTGTAGTCTAATGAGCTTTGAAAGAAAAGCGTCTGGACTTCTTTGAGTTGTTTGAGTTGTTCTTTTTGCTTGTTTGTTTTTGCAAGCGGAGCTCCTTGCGGAAGACCACAGACGAAGGACGAGGTTAAGAACGGGGGAAGTACTGCCGCCTACAGGTCTGGCATGTCCTTAAAAACCTATTTATCCCGGTACGTGTGGACAGAGTTTGTTTTTAAAACGCGGTGGTGTGTATGCAAGTTTTTGGAGGGGCGGATATTCGTTTAAAAAAAAACGGCTACGTGTGGACTAGGCCTTAGTCCTGACCCAACTATGGAGTGTCATATCTTGTTTGAACGCTCTTAATCTGAGCTATTTAATCATCATAACCTCCAGTTCCTTCCTCCAACTGCATGCTTGCACTGACTGATTTTGTGTGTCACATCTAAGCCTGAAGACTGGCATCTAAAGGCCTAACTTACCATACATTTCCTGCAGCAGCTCTCTGTGAATTGCTAAACTCCTTCAACATGCAATGAAACAATAGTACAGATTACGACCTTTCAAAGGATACTAAGCTTGAGACTGTCCTGAATTTAGAGTGTTAAACAGGCCATTCACAGGTCAAAATGTCATTTCAGGAAGGTTTCAGTGCCTTATTAATACAAGAACAATGAACATTAGTCCCGACCAAACTATAGGGTGTCATATCTTGTTTGAAAGCTCTTAATCAGAGCTATTTAATCATCATAACCTCCAGTTCCTTTCTACAACTGCATGCTTGCACTGACTGATTTTGTGCGTCTCATCGAACCCTGAACTTGGTCCCCATAGGCCAAAGTCATTGACAACTTGACGACTCAAGCACTTGTGTTTTCACTTTGACATAAGACTCTAAACAGCCTGCTAGGTTTCCACAAGTGGACATTAATATCATTCTCATTTTTAAGGGAAAACCTGCATTGGACTGTGGGTAGTTTTTACATTTACAGCACACGCGAGGTGAACATTTGTTGGATCCAGGAGTAATCTGCACATTCAAATCCTTTTCAGCTTCAAAACCCAACTCTAGGTCGTCATATCTTGTTTGAAAGCTGTTGCTATAGCCTTCCTATATCTCCCCATTTTCAGCAAGAGCTCAGCTTTCCAGTAAGAACAGCCCCATTATGTTAGCATTAACCAGGACAACCCTACAGGCAGTTTGAGGTTTTGTGTTGGATTCTTGAGTATTTACAGCCCTGGGGAAGTTGCCCTTTATTGCATTTAGGTGATATTTGCACTATCAAATACTTTTTAGCAAATGTTTTCCACATTTTTAAAGTTGTCACCCAGCTCAGTGGAACACTGGATCTACAAATACACAGAACCACTGTTTTATCAAAATATCCCTGCTCACTAAGAGATTGAGCTTGGTGTAAGGGTTTACATTATTACCATAATTGCAACCAAAGTCAAAATGATCAATGCTCATTACTGGTTCTCTCCATTTTTATTTTGATAACAGGTTAATTGACAATCATACAACAAATCTTAAGCAGTATCACATTTATCTTTACAGGTAAGATCTTCATACATGAGTCATATTGGTCGTTTGTGAAAGGCTGACTTATGTCCCTTCAATCATCCAGCCATTCCAAGTTGAGTCCTCCCCGAAA